CACAGAGGGTTGCTACATATCACTGATATGTAACGATGCTCCGCCGCTCGGCCACGCACACAGGGGGGCTCAGCCTGCAACTTCTCCTCTGTATCCCCGCTGCTCTCCCGGGCAGAGGCAGCAGGGGAACCCGAGGAGAAGGAAGTACTTTAGCCGTTGGGGGCAGCGGTGGAGGGAACCGCTGTCACAGCAGCATAGTCGAGCGGTCAGGAGAGAGAGAGCCGCCGGGTGTCATGATCCTGGTCGAGCGGCCCCACTGCATACAGATGGGGGAGAGCAGTGGGGGTGCAGAGGAGAAGCCCCATGGTGGGAGGACAGGACATCGCGATCTACCAGTGATCCCTTGGCGATCGAATGGTAGATTGAGATCGACCTAAGGGGCATCCCTGCTTTACACAATTCATATAAGTACAAGATGTGATGTCTACACTTTCAGCCTCATCTTGTGCCGAGATTTTCTAGCTTGCAGGACAACAATCTAAGCACTTACATAGTTACATAGTTAGTCAGGTTGAAAAAAGACACATGTCCATCGAGTTCAACCTATAGAGATATGAAATACTAAAAGAGTCTAAAAAAGAAGAAGAGACAACAGGTATTCCAAAAACCAAGCACTCAGCACTCAATATATCCCAAAAAGCACCAATCCAATTTTTAATGCCACTTAGCTCAAAGGCACTTTGTTCCCAAGCCCTGTGTGAGCATAGCAGACTAGGAGTGATTGTCACTGAGTCGTTCACCCTTTGAACACACGGTAGCTGCTACCATGTTTTTTTTAACGCACCGTTCACAGCATGTGCTGCTGCAATTTGGCCTTTAAAAATGTCTGTATACCTTGCTGCCACAACAGGAATGCGACAGAGTTTTTCATTTCTAGTTAAAGCATTACAAAGATTTAGCTTTATGATTTTTAAATATCATTTTAACCTGGATTCACAACTGTGTGATGCGACATCGCATGTGTATTTTTACACTCGTTCTGGTTCTGGTAGGGCTGCCCAATCATTTGAATGGGCTGCCCACAGCATCTACATTTTGCCAAAGAAGAGAATGATGAAAATGTCGTCTTACAACAATGTATGATAATAACTTGGTGTCATGCAATATACATACAATGGCTAGGTGTGTTGGAGTGCCTTTAAGAAATAATGGCACCACAGCACACCAAATATTGTAACATGCATGATGTAAATGTGACCGGTTCAGATTTAGAACCCCCCTCCCCCCCGAATCATAGATGTGTATCTGCTCTCTCTAGTTTATGACTTGACTATTTACAAAAGGACCTCGACAGCAGTCCTTTGAAGACCCTAGCTAGTGGAGGTTTATGATGCCTCTGCATTCCTTCTAACGTTGTTTACTGTCAAATGTGTCTTAGGCTGGACTATGGTTTGTCAAATGTGTCACCTTCCATAAATGCCTAGCATAGATATGAGATTTGAATTGGACTGTTTTGTTATCAACTTGCACATTTTAGTACTACTCCCCCTTACTCTCTACACAGTTTGGGGTTCATCAGAATTTACTATTGTCTCACATGGGCTTAATGCCTTGTAACAAATGGCAGATGAGTCATAATTATCCACTCCCAGCTACCTATCGCTTCCTTTGGCAAGAGAACAGCTTTCATTCCCAGTGACTTCCTTCACACATCCTTTGATAGCAGCCATGCTAGCATGGAATTTGTTTGGAGTTGTTAGGCAGGTCAAAGACTGGCAATATTAATGATTACACAACTGACACTGCGATTCATTTCTATTTATTATTATACTGCCATGCCTTTCCAGAAGACAAGAGAAAATGATGTATTATCGTTTAAACTGCGCCTGCGCTGCTGCGCAGACACAGGTAGCACGAACAGTAGCCATTCTCAGCCTTTTTAACACAGAGGATCCTTTGAAAGAAATAAATAAATACATAGTAATAACTATCTACAGCTCACAGTACATTAGCATACACAGTAAGTTGTAGATATAAGAAAAAATAAAAGAATAAGGAATGTGGCATACAGGGTTGCCAACCGTCCATAAAAATATAGACCTAATTCCCTTTACATCAAAGTCCGCTTATGTTTTTGTCCATCCATTAAAATCCTTAGTTTTGGGGTTTTGCTTTGCTGGCACACTCAAAGACAACTTCCTCTGATATCATCTGAGCATGCCTCAGAGAAAAGGCAGCCTCGCCCCCCACTTGTTTCTGTCAGCTGCTCTGCTGGCAAATACAGAAGAGGAAAGAAGAGGCTTATTTATTGAGAAGAGGGCTTGAGATCAGCACTACTGACCGTTTTTGAAGCTAAATCAATGTAGCCCTTTTAGCAGATGGTATACTCAAATGCAAATTACATGAGATGGACAAATAGGGCTATAAAGAACACAGGTGTATAGCTGGTTCTGGGGACACTATGTGATGTATTTATAAAGAATTTGTAGATCCATTCATCCTGTGAAACTGCATAAATATTTGTTCAGTGAGCACGGAGGCAAAAACAAAAATTATTAGAATATTTTATTTCCAGGTCAAATGTAATATCAGGTAAATACTGCATTATGACCACTAGATGGAGGTGAAGAGCATAGGAAATACGTTTATATTCCCTATGTTCCTCAGCTCCATCTGGTGGCCATAATGCAGTAATTTTCTGATATTACATTCAGGAAAAAAATGTGATCATATTAATTTTTTTTTAACTTACCTGATCCTCACTTCCAAAGACTTCCTACAGATTGCCAGACCAGCACCCGCAGCATCTTACCCCCATTATTCAGTGGTCAGAGGCCCACTGATGTCATCAAGCATAATGCAAGGCTCATAGCCTTGCACTATACTGTATATGAGAACATCAAGGGGCAGTCTCCAAGTTGAAATGAATAGGAGACGAGGAGAGTGCCGACTGCTGGAGAAGCGTGGATCAGGTAAGTAAAACTTCTTTACACGATACCTTATAACTGCACATGCAGTTAAATATTGCAGCCCCATGACAAAGGAAGTTCTTTCCCTGGAGTTAGGCTTTAAATAAAACTAAATAAGCAATATACAGTCACTGTTCATTCCAAAGTCTTGTAGCTGTAGGATGAAAACTGTCCTTCAATCTGTATGTGCATGTGCAGGCACACCTCATCAACTTACCAGAAGGATGAAAAAATTCCTGCTTTCCTAATCTAATGTGTAATGTACATTTCCTGAATTGCAGAAAAAAAATTCCAGTAGTCCTCTGTGCCAATAGAAATCATAAACAAGAAAGTTAAATAACAAGAAAGCAAATAATGTGTATTATATTGATGAAATACTCTAACAATCTATCAAAAAGATACTGATGTTCGGGGCACAGCAACTGACCACTCGTGCACAGTATGTACAGCAGATGACTAAGCAGTCCATCACCTTGGATATAAAGATTTAGCAGCAGATTGACCCTGGGCTACGTCCAGCTCCAGGATATTGAAAATTGCCAGGTGAATGGCCCAGCCCATGCATATTAAAATGTGTCTGGACAGTAGTCTAGCCCCAGGATATTGAATGCTGCCAGTTAAATAGTCAAGCACTAGGATATTGACATAGAAATGACCCAGGAGTGTGGCTGGGCAATCCCATGTCCAGGACATTGACAGCTACAAGCTGGGCAGTGCAATCCCAGGATATTGAAAGGTGCCAGTTGAGTAGTCAAGCCTCGGGATATTGACAGTGAAAAGGCTCAGGAGTGTGGTTGGGCAATCCCATGCCCAGGACATTGACAGGTACAAGCTGGGCAGTGCAATTCCAAGATATTGAAAGGTGCCAGATGAGTAGTCAAGCCTCAGGATGATGACAGTGAAAAGACTCAGGAATGTGGCTGGGCAAAGGTCTACCTAGATTATTAACAGGTGCCTTGCTGACTCCACAGGATAGCACTACTTGAGTCGCGCTCTCTCTCAGTGGATTTTTCTGGCACTGTTGGTTCAGGCTACAATGAAACCACAGAAGGACAATAACTTGCCGTGCAAGGGCTCTTTGTTACAATCTATTCAACACATCAGGACACAAAGATTTTATTTCTCATGCTTCATACATACATACATTGTGATTTTTTCACACAGGTACACATTTTCACTATATTGTTACTCTTCACTGAAGATGCATACTTTTTCTAGTTATGTGTTACCTGCAAACGTCCACAGCGACCAGTTATAATAAATGACCTTTACTTTGCTAAAGTAGTGTAAACAACTATCATGGGCTTTTCCCCATGAAATACTGTTTTATTTGATCCTTTCTTTCATCTCAGTGCTGCAAGTCTCCTCCAGCCTCACTTAGCCCCTTCTTGTCTACATGTACTTGCTTCAGTGTCGGCTGCACATCATTTCTTTGCTAATGGTGACATTGGTGATCCATGCCTGTGCAATGTCTGCTGGCATAGCCACTTATAGTCTCTACCAGGGAGACATTTAACAGACTAACAGCGTAGTAGCACATCTGAGAGGGAGTTCAGGAAGTGTCAGGATCCCCAGGTACTATTTAATGAAGCTGCAGATTTAAAAAGATTAAAAATAACTTTTCAACTTGCATGAACTTGTTAAAATTTATGTTACATTTTTGTAGTAGGGTTTAGATCTACTTCAAGCTACCTGCAATATAACTGCCCTTTAATGTCTATGGCCAACCTAAAGGTTCACATCAGGCAGTTTCTTTTTTGGGCAGAATGGGTGATGAAATAACAATTATGGGTCACATGCAGACAAAATCTAATCACAATTGTTTACTCTTGATAAGCCAGAGTTGGGGGTGTCAGCTATGAACTTCACCCCGCCGCCCCACTTTCACCCTTCTGTATAGGCAGTTTGCATGCATATTTAGTTTCCCTTTATTTCATATTTAATCAGTTTAAAGTGGCCAGACCAATAAAAGATAATGGCAGGTGTTTGGTATGGGTTACTAAAGTGGGCATCATAAATTCTTGGAGTACTGAGGTGATCAAACAGCGGAAGTTTATGTGCTTTTATAACATTTATGTTTATCATTCATCTCTACAAGTTTTTAGATTTAGTTCTTCCTAAAATTGACTGTTTATACTCAACTTTCAGTAAAGACTGGCAGTCAGTTACTACTCTATAATGTTCACTGTTCTCAAGAAGCTTCACAAAGTCTTTGGCAGCCAGGCGACCCATGTTGTTCAGAAGTATTAGTGCTCCAGGGTAAAGAAGTCCAAGTTCTGCCAAAGCATTTAATCCTTGAAGGTAGCCATCACTCTTAAAATCAAATAGCACCAAATCTACCTTCTCCAGGCCAAACTTGCTGTGTAAGATATAGATTGCATTGACTGGATGTTGACACAACAGCTTAAACTGGAAGACAGGAAAAAAATGCAGTTGATGACAAAACAACCAAGGACAAACCGGTCTGTAGAGGACTAAAAATGTGTGCAATAGAAAAAAAGTAAAATATTTGTAGAAGTAAAAATGTAAAGCAAGAATGATTTAATAAGGGGGCACTCAAATCAAACATGAGAGGTGAGGTAAGCATCTCAGCACATACAGGGGACCAAGCCTTTTTGCCAATGGTTTGTTATTTTGCATACAAGCATTGCTTGAGTAGGATATTCCCACTCTACAAAGTTTTATGGCACCAAGTCTATATTTGAGCAGGACAAAGAGGTTTAAAGAGAGCCGAAGGACGAAGAATGCCAAAGGATCAGCCAAAGCTACAGCTGGATCCTTCGGCTCTTTAGTGAATAACCCCCTTAGACTGACATCTGACATCGGCTTTCTACTCTGCCGTGGATACTCCTAAAGGTCCCCTGAGAAAATGTTGGGCCATGAGCTACTCAACAACTTATGTTAAAACAGTAAAGCCATTGCCTGATATGCCCAGCCACAGGTCTAATGCATTGCTTCATGCAATGCACTGCACTGTCCTTTCTTCTGAAAGGGTGGCTACTTCTGTTCCCCATGGTCAGAGCCGCAGCTAGCTCCTTTTGCGTCATGAGGCAAATACAGAAAATTCCCCCTTATCTATTCTGGGGACCATGCAACTAAAGGAGGGAGGATCATTCAGAACAAGTTGGGGCCAAGCAGTACATGTTGGGAGACCACGCAGGAGAGGTAGTGGGGAGGGGGAATACAGATACCCTCTGGACACGTTCCCGTAGCCAGTTCTCTATCCACGTACACACCACCTCATCTATGCCCATAGCCCTCAGCTTGTGTAGCAAGCGTTTGTGTGGTACCGTATAAAAAGCCTTTGAGAAATCCAGATATACCACATCCACCGGCTTAACTCCGTCCATATCTCTACTTACCCCCTCATAAAAAGTTAGCAAGTTAGTTAGGCAGGAACGGTCTTTCCTGAACCCATGCTGATTGTCATTAACTATCCCGTTTTCCTGAACAAATTCTACCAGATAATCCTTTATTATGCCCTCTAGCATTTTACAAACTACCGATGTTAGACTGACCGGCCTATAGTTCCCAGGTTGGCACCTTGCCCCCTGTACAGTTACTTACCTCCCAACTTTCTGAAATGAGAAAATCAGACACCGTCCAGTGCAAGCTATTTAGGCAATGGCCAAGCCCCCAGTTATGTAGAACTTCAAGAATATATGTGCCAAAAATGATTTTTGGGGGCTCATCGGTGACACAGATGTGACATCACATTACAAATGGCCTGTGAGCATGTGGGGATCAGTTTAGGAGCTGCCCACAACCACGCCTCCCATCGTCAGTCACTACTTTTCACCGGTCCTTGTGGTGCCTCCCGCCCCCTTCAGTACTGCTCCGCCTCTGACATCACGCATCACATCATGCCTCACTCGCCTCACCCTTCCTATGGCCCTGCCCATGGTTGCTGTGTGTGTTGTAAAGTAGCCACCGCTCCAAGCTCAATCCTGTGATGGACTACAATCTCATGTTTAGTTTACTAATTTGTATTGAGATTGTAGTCCATCCTGGGAGTAAGCTTGGAGCAATGGCAACTTTACAACACACACAGAGACCATGAGGAAGAAAAGTAGCCACCCTCCAGAAGGAAGGACAGTGTCACCATGAATTCAGAGATGATTTGAGGATCTACAGCCGAGTGATACACAAATAAGATACATTTTTGTTAATAGTTAAGGTACTTGAATGTATTTCCAAGATTTACCTCCTGAGTTTAGTGTCACTTTATCAGAACAGTCTTTTCCATCTCGGCACATGAAGGACTACCAAATCAAATGCATATAATAGTGTTACTAATCAGTATATTTTTCAACAATGTTTACCAATACCTGATTATTTTTGAATCCAGAAACTAAGATCATTTCCTCTGCTGAGTCCGCCATACTGTCCTCTGCCTCCACAGCATACAAATTCCCATCTGGAGGCAGTAAGGAAAGCACCCTTATGGCCGAATACCCACACTGTGTGCCCAGGACAACAACCGTTCTTGGGGAAGTCTGCTTCACTGCATCTGCGAGGAAAATGTCTGTAAATAAATGTTGAGAGTAACAAGTCAGGGCAATGTATAACTGTCATCTAGGTTGTTATTTTATCATTTAAAATGATACAGACTTCAGCTTCTCAATCAACCAGAAACTTCAGGAAGCTGTGTGATAGGAAATTCAGGCCACATAACAACTGTGCCTGGCACATACTTTCCTACCCTTCACTACACTATTGCTCTGTTTGTTTACTGGGAGCGAAGAAAGGAAGCACTGTGTAAGCTAGGGATGCACCGATACCGGTTTTTCGGTATCAAGTACGAGTACCAATATTTATATTTCGGTACTCGCCGATGCCGAGTACTGATACCAGTACTTCCACTAACATGACGCCGGCTTCCCGGCTAATCAGGAAACCGGGCGGCATGTCAGTACCTGTCGCCCGGCTTCCAGATTGGCTGGGAAGCCAGCTCCATGCTGTTTGGCTGGGTCAATGCTGATTGACCGGGAATCCGGCTTCCCAGCCAATCAGCATTGAGCTGCCTATTTGACAGGCTCAATGCTTAGGGTATCAGGGAAGGTATCGGAGCATTTGGGGCGAGTATGAGAACTCGCCCAAATACTCAGTATCCGTGCATCCCTAGTGTGAGCCACAAGTTACAACTTGGAGCTTTCACAGGTCTAAGGACTCTCCCCCACCACTGTGTTCTGGGCCACGTACTGCCACAAGGGGCTTCCCATAGTTAGGAAGTACTAGATATATCACGTTACTGCCACCCACAACCACAAATCACAGTATACCTTTAGACTGCAGCCTTTTCCAGGGCAGGTTTTATCTGAATTGTGACTGCAGGACAATAACAATAGTCCGGAAGCTGGCCACACGTGCTACAACCTGATTGCACAATCTCATTCAGATTTACAACTGTATAGTGCAAAGGAGCTGCCTAAACAATCCAATCTCTTTATATAAAATCAACTAGGCCCTCACTACATCGTTTTTGGTATATAATTAAATAAGTTTGTACAACTAGATTGTAAAGCATGTGGCTGCTTTAGTAAGGATGCTGGTAAATGAGACATGTTTCCACAACACCCTTGTCAATGTGCATATCACATATACCTTGGTCTGGAGTAAAGAGTATCTCCTTTATCATCCGGTTCTGCTTGGCATATTCCCTGAAAGTTTGCAGTACACTGTGTGGCTTTCCATGTGTAGATTCCATCAGCACATAGCGACGGAGGGCTTGTTGAGTCTTCTCATCTATGGTCCATTTACATCGTGGCTGAATATGGTATTTGTAGAACACCCAGGCTGCTCCGGCACACAAGGGCATCACAATTCCAGCAGTAAGCACAGTGAAGGAGGAGTCCATCGAGGTAGTCAAGTATGATAGACTGGAAGAGTGTAATATAAAAAATACTGACCATATATATGATATTAAGGATACACATATGGAGAAACAATATACATAATTGATATTTGTCATTTTGAATGTGGCTAGGTGTCAATGTAAATGATGCATCCGGTCATTAAAATGAACACAATAGTGTTTGTTTTTCTGAGTACCCCTTTAATGTAGTTTTAGGACCTGATCCTAAAATTATCTGTGATCCTGTCAGTAGAATGTTTCTTTTTTCACTTTCTGTAACAGGCCAAGCTGTCCAGCAAAGATGGTAGTTACAGTTAAAGGAAGTCCCAGTCTTAGCTGTTAAATGGTCACAGCAGCTGTCAATCAACCAGCAGGTGGCATTGCCCCTGATTGGATGAAAGCACAGCTGCCTGTATTTTACACAAAAGGGTGACAACACTCCTGCACCATTGTTGCTGGTAGTCATCCTAATAAAGAAGGGCCTCCAGTGCGTCCCTGCACCTTATTAGGAGGAGTTGGCTACCTCCAGGTACACCTGCATGTAATTTATCTACTTCATTAATATGCTCACACTTGGAGACTCGTATACATAGAGTTAGGACCACACTTTGCAGAGGTGCCTTGGCGCGGCGGTGTGGCTTCTACATTTTTTGGGCAAAAGTTTGTGCAACTAAAACCTCTGATTTTAACGCATACTGTTGACAGGGCTACTTGTTTGGTTGCAGGCTGGCTGGCAGGTTGAGGCTGGGGAATTTTTGTGTTTTGTATTATCCTAATAAAGAAGGCCTCAAGAAGAACAGAAACTGGCAGGATCAACATGTATTTAATAAATATTTTCACACCAATATAAAAATCCTTCCACAATTACATTGCAAAACAGGAGCCATTTACACAACTTCACTATTTGGGATTACATACACTTTAAAGTAAATCTTTCCAAAGTGAAATATGAGCGCTGCCATCTTTTGAAAATGCTAGTTGTCTGGTTGTCATGCTGATCCTGAGCCTCTAAGTCACTGAGTTAGGGGAAGAATGCAAATCAGGAAAGTCAAAAGTCTTTAAGTGCAAATCAACTTGCATTAAGCTGCTTTTGTGTTGCCATTGAACAATATCCTATGGACATACAGTAAGTCCTTGCACTGTTTCCTGTCTGGAAGGAAAGCCTGGCTCACTGCAATGAGTTGCCATGTGCTTTTTAACCTAAACCATATGGAAACCAATGCCATCTTCACAATGCACGGAAACACTGCATGTTGGTGGGTAAGAGCCCCATTGAATAAAGAAGAACTCCATGAACTTTTTATTAACCCTTGCAGTAGGGCTTTCCCCGTACTACAAGGGTTAAGTGCTTGTTTGTGTCTAGATTAAAAAAAACAACGTTATACTCACCCAGTGCTTTAAAGGAGAACTATGGGGTCAGGGCTTTTCCCCATAGTTCTCCTTAGGGTAACGGGAGGACACAAACTATCGTCCTCCCGTTACCCTAAGCTCAGTATACCGCGAGCTGTAGCTCGCGGTATACAGAGACGCCGGAGCGGATCCCGACATCGAGATCCACCCAGCTGCGTGAGTGACAGCTGGCTCTGCCTATCTAGAGGCAGAGCCAGCTGTACCCGCCCCCTCCCCCGTCCGTTCCGCCAGTCAGCGCTGGCGGATCGGAGCGGGGAGGGGGGAATCCATCCGCCGGTATATGTTCGCTCACCTCCCGATCTACTGAGCCGACCTGTGACAGTCTTATTGTCACAGGTCGGCTAGAACTATGAGGTGAGTGAAAAGCACTCATCTCATGGTTCTCCTTTAAGCTGGCTTCTTCTTAGACCGGTCCTTCCAACATTTCTCCCCCAACTCTGCAGCAGTCTAAGGTCCCGTAAATCATCACATCTATTTAAGGATGCTAATGGAACATTCCAATGCTGCTGTGGATGAGGAGACAGGCTGGAGGGACCGTTGTGTCAGCTGGCCAGCTTGGAGCCTTGGGTGAGTATAACTTGTGTCCCTAGACACAACGAGCACTTAACCCTTGCAGTGTGGGGTAGCCCCACTGCAAGGGTTAATAAAATGTTTTCCTGGAGTTCTTCTTTAATCTCCTCTGTAGACATGAATAGGGAAGGAAAACAATTACATTTAGAAGATTCTTAACACATTAAAAGTAAACCCTGGGCCCTGGTCCCCAGCTTGTGACCTTTTGGTACATACTGTGTGGCCCTCAGGCAGTAGTTGGTGTTTTTCTTGCCTAAGTGATAATAAAGGGACAGTGAAGAAAAATATTAATTAAACTGAATTTTGTTAACTAAATGATCTGGTTTATTTGTTTTACACTCCCTTATTTTTAGTATGCTCTTCATTCTTTTTTAGGTAATTTTTTTTCACTAATATTTTATAATGCATCTTGCCGAAGGGAGCATCAACTATTGTGCCAGTACATTTTTCAGGGGGAGTGTAGGGAGCCCTGACTGTAATGGCGGTAATCTTGGCATTCTCTTGTACCAGATCCTTAGTCTCATATAGCCTCATACAGCATGCCCCTAGTCTCCTATAGAATAGAATGTCGGCAGTCTTTGGCATACTTCTGTTGCATGCCTGCAGTCTCTGGCCATCTACTGTGGTATTTCTTGTCTCTGACCATTTTCTGCAGCATTACATACACTGTACGTTATGTGCCGACCGTTGATGTCAGGGGCTGCAAGCCAGGCCACCTGTATTAAGTACATTGACCACCACTACCTTAGGGAGTTTATTCCATGAAACTAATCACCTTGGACACAATTTGCAAAGCCATTTGCCTTGTGAATCTCTGTGAACATTCCTTCTGTGTGAATAGAGGCAAAAAGGAACATTCTTAGTATATTCTCTTTTCAGGTTTAATGTAATGTAATACCAATATATGGCCACTAGATAGAGCTGAGGAGCATAGGATTTTTTATGCTCTCCATCTAGTGGTCACAATGCGGTATTACATTACATTCGCGCTGAAAAGAAAATTTACTAAGAATGTTTGTTTTTGCAATCGCCAATGGCTCTGCAAATTGTTTATAAAATACACTCCTTCACCCTTTTGCTGCCACGGGTGTATGTCATACGTCGATGACAGCAGGCCCCTTTAAACAGATGCCCGGAGACTGTCGGCTTTACATTAGAAGCAATTCCAGCGGCTCAGCTGCCACCAGATTGCTTTCAGAGGCCAGTATAGTCTGCACCCCCCTGCCTACGGGCCCAGGACCGGCATCTTAGGTGTCGGCAGGAAGCCGGGAAGAAGACCAGCGAACATCCGATCGCTGATCTCCTCCCTGCTGAATCGCACCTGGAGCAACGCTGATTGCATCACTTCTAGTCCTGTAGCTGTCATTACTCAGTTGGAGAAGCCAATAGAGAACGATCTGCTTATTTAGAGTGGAAAGGTGACACTAGGGGTCTTTTGGATCTCTAGTGTCACCTTAACCAGTTGACATCCGCGTTGTTAAACCCCCTTCCCATCCAGGCCATTTTTGGGGGGGGCGCGCGAGCAGAAAAAAAATGCCGTCTGGCGACGGCAACCCGCAAATGCAGCAGTGCCGTCCGTCCGTTTTTCTACTACGGGAGGACGGCAAGAGGTTAAAGAGGACCTTGTAAGCACCCCTATGGGAAAGCAATGAATCTCATTGCCGGCGACCATCTTGCGTATGCTCAGTGTGCCCCCGCTACTGCAACCAAAATGGCCGCCAGCACTGAGGTTTATTGTCAGCAGCCATCTTGGTTATGGCAGCGGCGACACAAGATGGCCGCCGTACTGTGCATGCGCAAGATGCCCACAACAAAGATGGCCACAGCGTGCTTTTAATGGGAAAAAAGCTGCCACAAGTACCGGGACCTTTTTGCTCAGAAAAAAAAGCACCGAGGCACGTTTAGTTCTTTAGCCAAGCACTGAGTAGCTGTTCTGCAGCACTTCAGTTCGCTGCAGCAGTTTCACTGAATACTTTGGCTGCACAGTGCTATGCAAAATGGCGGAGGATAATATTTTTGACTAATAAATACCATTTTTCAACTCAACGAATATTTGGTGTACTTGTCCACCAAAACATTACATTGTTCCCACGTTGAATGGATTTCCTCCATTGGGGTTCAGGCCATTTCTCCAGCGCTGGCAGGTGTGCCCACAGTTAAAATGGCCGCTGGTGCTCTTTCCCGACCTTCTCTGTCACACTCAGCGCTCTGCATCCACATTTGCTTCGCTGCGAGTGCTAAATTAGCAGTGCTAAGCGGTGACTTGCAGCACAGCGTTCAGCGGCGGTTTGCTAACTCAGCACTCGCAGCGGCTGAGCAACTGAACACACTTCCGGTTAAAGTACACCTAATACAAAAATATGGGTACTGCCATTACTAAACTCATTCTGAAAATACTGGTTGCCTAGCTGTTTTGCCTCACTACGTCTAAGTCAATGGCAAGAAAAAAAATCCTACAGCAAATCAGAGTCGAAGAAAAGTCAGAATTTGCTCAGTAACTTAGAAAGCATGGAAGCCAACTCGCAGTTTGAGAAGAAAAGGACAACCATGGCAGCCTGTATACTATCTCTTGCAATAGCCTGCATAGTAACTTACTCAGGTTCAAGGCAACATGTGGCTTTCCTGTCCTGCTTTGTCCTCTATAGTGATAAGAACGACTCATGGAGTATCTAGGTGTGTGAGTGTCAGTATGGAGGATCTGTCAGAAGAAATCTATAGTGAAAAAGAATTTGAAAGTCTTCCTGGTAGTCTTACCAAGCTGGAGTATTGTATTCCTGTGTCAGGAGGAGGCTGTGTCATACAACCAGGAAGTGTCCTAGTAAATAGATCCTACCTGTGATATATTGTCCTTGCATGTGCTATATGTGCAGGAGGGGTCGTGTTGCTCACTCAGCTCACAATGTCTTAGGTTGGAAGTGGAATCGTAGATCAAATAACAGGTTCTAGCCTTCTCTGCAAAAACAAACACAAAGGGAATTTCTCAAAGCTGGTGCAGACAAAATCTGGAGCAGCTGTGCATGGCA